TGTAAATGTGTATTATGCGCAGGGATATTTTTGTAACCCTGAACTTTCTGTATTTTGGGCCGAATGCCTAATACTGAGTGAATATGTCTGTCTGTCTGTCTACATAGTAAAATAGCAAGTATCCCAAGCCGACTTCGGAAAAAGATTCACTACCCAGAAAATATGTGTTTTTATGCTCTAATTCAAGATATCTTGTGGAAAAGGGAGATAAACTGTTTTCAGTTTTTATAGAATTTACTAAGGCCTTCAACTCAAAGTGATAAATGATTTGTGAACACTTCTGAATCGGGGAACTAAGTCAAAAGGGCCAAAGGACTAAAGGGCCAAACTAAACATTCAATGACCATATTATCCTTATTATCATATCATAATATATCATCATATCAAATATTGTATACTTCATTTTCAATACCCGTGAAGATCCAGGTTAAAATATTGATCTTCAGTAACCGCTGTCTGTCGTAAGAGGTGACTGACGGGATTGGGTGGTCAGGCTCGCTGACTTGGTAAACACATGTCATCGGTTCCCATTTGCGCAAATCGATGCTCATGCTGTTGATCACTGGTCCAGACTCGATTATTTGTGAACTTTTGTGACGTTAAAGAACTGGGACGCAAACGGATTTTAAATAGAATAGTTTAAGGCAAAACTGTACTTTAATACACTATAAATGGGCGTAAAGCAAACTGTTTTCCTTCACTAAATGACTCACTAACTGCCTTCCAATATCACCAGATTAACAAATAACGAATTTCCTCTAATAAGGGCCCGGGCGCTTATTTTTATCAACGGACTTCCACACCGGCGCTTATTGGAGTCCCGGCGCTGATTAGAAGAAATACGATACGTCCTGCTTCGTCCGAGGGGACGTATTCACACCAAGAAGCACCGCCTGGGAATCAACATAGACAGTTAAAAAAAGGAACAGGTACGGTGGGGGAGCTTAATGGTTAACGCGTTCGGTCGTCACGGGTTCGATTCTCCACATGGGTACACTGTGTGAAGCCTGTTTTTGGTGTCCCCCGCCGTGATATTGCTGTGAGCCACTTCTGCATTCCTTATTATAACTTTCTTTGGGTTTCAATTAATATGATGTCTTTCCTAGCGGGGGCGGTGGGTTAGCCTAGTGGTTAAAGCGTTCGCTCGTCACGCCGTAGGCCCGGGTTCGATTCCCCATATGGGTGCAATGTGTGAAGCCCATTTCTGGTTTCCCCTGTCGTGATACTGTTGGAATATTGCTAAATGCGGCATAAAATCTAACTCACTCACTCACTCACTCACTCACTCTGTCCTAGTAAAATTGACATGTAAATGACTATGCTGAAATTGGCACTCGACCGATAACACACCATCAGCTACAATGAGCATCGGATGAAGAGCAGCAGAGGCGGCAAACTTGTTTATACAGTCTTCTGTCAGGGAGGGTCTTGTGTCTTCTGTCATGGAGGGTCTTGTGTCTTCTGTCAGGGAGGGTCTTGTGTCTTCTGTCAGGGAAGGTCTTGTTTTTATTTAACCTTTATCTGTATGAACTGGAGGTTGAATATAATTCTCGGTGTAGATATTAACATATTCATCGTTATGTGACACATTGTTTAGTAATAAACATATCCAATAACCGGACCGTTGGAAACTACCCCACCCAGAGAAATATACTTGCAAAGTCATTGTGTTCAGGTACAGTATTGATCCTAGTCTCAACATATACAGCTAGAGACATACACATTGCTTTGAATTTATTGATTACTGTTGCAACAAGATTAATGATCTTGGTTAGGTGAGGTTTATGGCACGCAACATTTAAATCGATTGGGTATTGAAAAGATAGCAAAGCGGCTAGTCGGATCATGTCCATCTGTGTTTACATTAGGTAAGGACATAATGTGCTTTTTTAAACCCCCCTAGCACACGACCAGCCACCCCCTTTACATTTCATTTACTGATACACTATTATATATACCTGGAACAGATACCAGACACTAGTAGATATCCTATCAATGTGTACACTCTTAAACGCTATATTGCTTACCGGTTAAAGCTCCTTTCCATGCCCTCTTCACGCTACCCATCTAACTTACAAAATGTTATGTTATACTAGATTTAAACGCAAGCGCCGAGCGTAATAGTTTTAATTGGGCTTCACGTGTAAAACCAGTTCTATTTAGATTTGGACTAGGCTATGCCTGGATATGGCAGGAAGTTGGAAATAAAAATCATTTCTTAAATTTACTTGTAAGAGGCAAAGATTGCTTTATACAGGAATTGGCATGCAAAACTCCAAAATGGTCCCTGTACGTTTACTTCTATTCCCTGTTTTAAGAAAATTTCATTTTGCGAACCATGTATGTTACAGTGTATATCAATATAAAGAAAGTAAGAATAGACTTATCACAGTTTCGTCCCGTTTGTTATTATTTAAGTTGTTATAAGGAAAAATTTCATAAAAAATCTACTGTGTGCAAATACTGTAAATACTGTAAATTGAATGTCCTGGAAGATGAATACTATGCCCTGCTATTTTGTAATTAGTACAGAAACATGAGAAGCAAATATATACCCATTTATTTTACGAAAAAACCGTCAAAACATAACTTTATCCAACTATTGTCCACTGCTAACCGCATTTTTATTGAAACTATTGCTTTGTATATCTATGATGCTATTTTGAAGAGAAATCCACTCAGCTGTTGAACTTTGTATATACCTGTACTGTGGGCCTGTACTAAAGATTGATTGCTATATACCAGCTGGGAAAAGATTAAGCACCCCTCCATATGCTTATCGCTGACAGAACTATGTTAAATTTCAGTTTGCGTATGGTGAGTGAGTGAGATCATATGGTCATTAAGACATTATTGCAAGTGTACGTGATGGAAACCCGTGAAGGTCCGGGTTAGAATTGATCTTCCGTAGCCCATGCTTGTCGTAAGAGGCGACTAACGGTATCGGGTGGTCAGGCTCGCTGACTGGGCTGACACATGTCATAGTATACCAATTGCGTAGATCGATGTTCATGCTGTTGATCCCTGGATTGTGTGGTCCAGACTCGATTCTTTACAGACCGCCGCCATATAGCTGGAATATTGCTGAGTGCGGTGGTGGAAGCTTTACACCATGAATGACGACGGTTTCTTCTGCAACGGATACGGCAACTGACGGTGGGATTACGACGTGATCAGACTCAGTGACTTGGCTGATTACTCCAAATGTTGAATCCGTGAAGATCCATGTTAGAATTGGTCTTCATCAAGCCATGTTTGTCGCCAAAGGTGACTGACGGGATCGGGTGGTCAGACTCGCTGACTTGGTTCAAGTTAGTCGCCTCTTACGACAAGCATGGGTTACTGAAGGCCAATATTCTAACCCGGACCTTCACGGATCCTGGAGTGGATGTAGATCATATATGAATGATCTTCAGCCTCGCTAATTTAGTTGATGCATTTTATCATACATCGATGTCAGTAGATTGTCTGGTCCTGACTCTATTATTTACAGGCCACCATCATATAGCTGTAGATGTTCCCTGGATTCAATTATCCACAGGCCGTCGTGATTAAGATGAAGTAATGCCAAGTGCGGAGTTCAACAAAATTCAACCAATAAAGCTTTCCTTCAACAAAAGGGCGCTCTGGAGGATACCAGGTATAAAAGAGGTCCATGCTTTACGTAGAGTCTGAGAATGACGACCCGAAACGGGTGGTCAGACTTGGTTACCTGGTTCAAGGTATGCATTCGTGCTCATAATATCAATCATGAGGTTGTGTGGTCCAGACATCGACAGAACGCAGTCACTTGTCCCAACTAAAAAAGTGATGCTGTAAGTACAGGTGAAGAAACAGGTGGTTCAGGACCGACATCGACAGAACGCAGTCACTTATCCCAACTAAATGAGTGATGCTGTAAGCACAAGGCCTAGATTTTCGAAGCTCTTTTAGCGCTAAGATAGTGTTAAGTTAATGTTAATGTATGCTAAGAGAGCTTCGAAAATCTAGGCCCAGGTGAAGAAACAGGCTGTTCAGTAGAGACATCGAGCAACAGTGAGAACGTCCGTACTTACAGGTACGTATGGAGCCAGGACAGGTTCACTCAGTGTCCTTAAATTTAATATTCTGGGTGTAGATATACCACAGATAAAAGAGGGTCGGGTGCGGATATACCACGTGTGACAAAAAACAATATGTAAACAAACAGGTCGGTCATTGTTAATGAATATACAATGCCACAACTGGTTGATGCAATGTCCTAAAATGAACAACAGAAAGTCGGGTGTAGATAAACCATGCGTAACAGAAAGGCGGGCGTAGATATACCATGGGTAACAGAAAGGCGGTCGTAGATATACCATGGGTAACAGAAAGGCGGGTGTAGATATACCATGGGTAACAGAAAGGCGGGCGTAGATAAACCATGGGTAACAGAGAGTCGGGTGTAGATATACCATGGGTAACAGAGAGTCGGGTGTAGATATACCATGGGTAACAGAAAGGCGAGCGTAGATATACCATGGGTAACAGAAAGTCGGGTGTAGATATACCATGGGTAACAGAAAGTCGGGTGTAGATATACCATGACGGGAATCAAAATGTAGACACACAGGTCGTTCATTGTTGTCGAATGTACATAGCCACGATAGGCTGATGCAATGTTCTTAAATGCAAGTTTAGAATACATTCTCTGTGAACAATTTAAGGTGTTAGTGGAAAGCCAGTCTTCAATAATTAATGCTTAAATACACCAAATCTGTACATAATATGAGAGCAGCTGAGATGGATAGTTCTGGAAGATTGGAAGATAACAGTCCAGCAAGTCATGGCGATACTTGCCGAAACTCATTGACATTTATCGCTGAGTCATGATCTGGGGCAGCATCTTAACACCGACTGCACCCGCGCAAGCAAGAGTGCGCATCGTTGACATTGCTATATATAACATGCAGTAGATAACACAGTTAAATCAAAACACAAACAAGACCTCGACTCTCAAACAGACTTGCTGAATCAGTCACCTCCCTGTTGAAATGGCGCTGAGAGGAAAAGTTGCTATCATTACAGGTGGGATTTTGTCATTGTGGCTCGTACATTACAGACATCAGACCAGAATGTACACTGGTTGACATTGTTAACAGACCGTGGTCAAGATTTTCTCTCTTAGCGCTAAGATAGTCGTAAGTTAATGTTAATGGATGGTACTTACGACTATCTTAACACTAGTAGAGCCTCGAAAATATAGAGCCTGGGCTGTAGATGCGATACCGCAACCCCAGAGTCTGCCTGGTGTTGCTGGAATTCTTGCGCTACTAATGAGTTGATCACGTTTGTGAGTTTCTTTCTGACATTTTCTGTGCTGCTGAAATTGTGTGTTGGGCTGCTGATGAGCTGATCATGATTGTAAAATTCCTTCGATGTGTTTTGTGTTGCTGTTGAAATTGTTTCTGGGTTTTTCTATGGAGATTCTGGTGTTGTTCATGGGTGTAAGGGAGACGTTCAGGTCATATTCCGATTCTTTTCCTGGGAATTCTGGTAGTGTTTGTGAGGCATCTGCTGACATTGTCTGTGATACTGAGATGGTTTTATGGTTGCCCCTCTTATACCCCCAGCTGTTCTTTTCATAATATCACACGTTCATTCCAAACAATTATCCATCATATATTACTGTTGCAGATGTTGTTTGTTGTGCTGATGTGGTTACCTTCGAGGCTCATGAACTTGTTTGTGAGACTGCTGACAATATTGTGGTCATCAGTCTTGCTATTTTTCACCAGCTGCGTGAATATTGTTGCAATGTTTCGAGAGTGAAAATGTTATTAATTATTCGTGTTTAGTTAAGCAATCAGATTTCCCCAAGCTAGTGAAGGATGCTTGATTCTGAATAGTGAACATAATATTTAAATCAGGGTCTAATGTCATTACATACAGAGAACTGTAGCAAGTGTAATTACAATGCCGCCCGGTAATTCCGCGCACCTACGCACATCGATTGCAACACGGCAACTGAAGTCTCTTATTTTTTGTGGTTAACGTGAATAAACATGCTGGTATACATCATATGTTCCTAGAAATATAAGTTTTACTGACGACTATAAGGTTCTAACGTTGCATTATGCCATACGGTTGACCTTACCAGCGTTCTAGCGATATCGCTTGCTGTCCGGTAATTCTGCGCAGCAACTGATGCGCATAACGTCCAGCTGGAGATCCGAAGTATGGAAGCGTATTAGGGCCAGATTATTTTCAAAATCACTTTATCAATGTGAGGAAGAGTGTTTTATATTAAATCCAATTATGAATAATGAAGAAAACGGTTTAAAAGCCTGAAGAAAACAAATTTTCATAAAACTGTCAATTTATCTGCCAATTACTGTTATTTACTTACCTTTAGTGATTAAAGGCCAGTCCCTTGTAGAAATGTCCCGATTTCAAGCGTAAATGAGGTAGCAGACGATGTTTACCTTCTATACGGAAGTAGGCTTTTGGAGCTGCGCAGTATTACCGGACGCGCGTCATTACCGGACTCGCTTGTACACAAAACGTACATACTAATTTAGAGGTACACACACACACACACACATGCGCTTTGTGAAACAAGATTCCTTCTCGTGTTGTTATAATGTCTGACGTTAGTTCTAAATAGAATAATTTCAATGTTTCAATAGTGAATGTTGTTACTATAGCCATTCGTGTTTAGTTATTCATGTTTAGATTAGTTATCAGATTTCACTAGGACACTGAATGATGTCATAACATACGTTGAAAGGAGCACGTTTCATCACAGAAATGTACATATAAATTCATAGATCTACCGATAGCCGATGCACATAAGGATGAAAAAGAGGTACACACGCATACTCACACACACAGCACGATGAATACACGAGGAATTCTTTGTGTGTTTCATTTGAGTCAACACAATCTCCTCTTTCAGGTTCCAGTTCAGGAATTGGGGCAGGGATTGCTGTAGCGTTTGCCAAAGAAGGGGCCAAACTGTCATTGACTGGTAGGAACCAGAAGAATTTGGAGGACGTGGTCAAGAACTGCAAGAAGGCAGGGTGTCAGGTGAGCAGAAAGCGATAGAGGAAGTCATCATTAAGTACAGCCCCATTAGTCCAAGGCACAACAATTAAGCTTTTAAAATCGTGTCCATTAAGCGATACAGGTCCTCAAATCAATATTGGTACAGTTTCCAATCATGCCACAAAATAAGTGCCTAAAGCAATCGAAATCTGTCCACACTGCAAAATCGAAGATGTTTATACAGAATTATCAAGGTGATCAGCTTTCTGTTTCAGGACGTTCTCATAAACGTGGGAGACGTCACAAAGGATGCTTTCAGAAAGACTCTCGTGGAGACAACCAAGAAGAAGTTCGGGAAAATAGACATACTGGTGAGTACACTTTAGATACTGCAGACAGGATGGAAGGACATATGCATGCATATATTCTGTACCACCACGACTAATTGGGAAAAAATAATTAATAATAGTTCAGCTAAACGTTTTGTTTAAATTTTGATGTTATTTGTTTCTTCTTTATAGCCGCAAACAGTAAGCTAATCCACATGACATATGCACAACCAGAACATCCTGTGATTGATAGCTTATGACCTGTTTGATGGGCATTTTAGAAGTTGAGTTGATGAAGAATAATGACAATTATTATGGATATACAACTTCTTTTATTCTGTGGAGGCGACGTTTCGACATGGGTTCTAATGTCGTTGTCAAGCAAGGATACATGAGCAACAAATTGAGAGAATATCTACAGGAGTTGTTGTTACAGTAGATAGGGAATGAGTTGTTTATACAATAGATAAGGTTGATCTACAACGTTTGTATGAGAGATAGAGGAAACTGATAGGAAGCCAGTAGGGTGACATACAAGGGCTGAGTTAGAGCTGGTGTTCCTTGATCCTGAGGGTGAGTGGCCTTGATGTTTCTCCAACATAAGAGTCACCGCAGTCACATTCTATGTGGTAAACCACACCTGAGGGGTCTTGCTTCTTGATTACTGGATTGTCTGGTCGATTATGTACTGACCGCCGCCATATAGCTGGAATATTGCTGAGTGCGGCCTACAACTCAGGTCACTCACTGAAACAAATACATGTTCATGATATAGTTCACAATTATACAATCAAATCTGCGTTTAGCAGAGATTTCTTATGCATGTGGAAAGGGCTTTATCGCTTCTGTTCTGTTGATCTGATTTCAAGGATGCCAATGTGTCACCTGCTTAACGATTTCCTCAGTGCAAAAGGAAAATGGAACTATTTGAAAAATCGCAACAGTCTGTTTATAAGAATGCACAGGACCATCAAATGAAAATGATTGTAAAGATAAAAGAGGTCCCTTTAACATATGCGTGTTTTGGAGTACTCGAGTTTTATCGATCATCCCTATTGATTGAACTGTGTAGGAATATCGAGACGGGCTACACAAAACTGGGCTTCACAAAATGTACCGTGGGGGAATCCAACCAGTCATGGATGTAACGAGCAAACCCTTTAAGCACTAGGTTAAATCATTAGATGGGTTTTAAGAGATTTGATAGTCAGTGGTTAATTGGTGGATATAGAGTCATAATACCTTGGTGGCGTGGACCGTTGCTCATATTATCAATCACTGGGTTTGCATACACTTTACATTACCCTACTATGTACGACACAGACGCTACAGATGGTGGCGTTAACCCGTAACACAAACAAGCTAGGTATATCATATGTTTGTGTTTAGGTGAACAATGCCGGGATCTCAGGCCTGAGTCCGCTGACATCAACGACCAAAGAGCAGTACGACAGAATAATGGCTGTCAACGTTGAGGCACCTTTGTTCTTGACACAGTTAGTTGCACCGCATTTGATTGAAACTAAAGGTACTTTCTAAATGGCTGTGATTTCATGTGTGGTTTTATGTCTGGATTTTATTGTTGAAAACAATTCATTCTGGAAAACAAGACACTAACGACAGTACTCAACTCACCGTACAATTTGCTGTATGTCCTCGAAAAAGGTGTTGTCACCACAACTTGTTCAGCTTCACGTTTCAGAGAAACAACTGTACGTCGTGAGGCTGTGAATAAAATATATTCAGTCCTTTACAAACGGCATATAGAACTAATTATAATAACGGTATGTCTTTTCATAAGATAAGATGTTAAAATGAACAGACGATATTTCCAGCTTTCTTCCTGAAGTCACTAGTCTTTTGCTGATCAAATAATTTTGTTTCAGGAAACGTGGTCAATACGTCGTCTTGCGGAACGAGCATGATCGTGAGTGTGATGGTTATAAGAATAATTCACAACCTGTAAAACAGAGCAACTTTACACATCCCGTAGCCGTTTGAGTGTAGAATAGGCCACGCGCATAACACAGGAAGCCGAGTGGATGCTGTATGACCAAAATGAGTGTTGTGTGAGTAAAGAAAGAGTTAATGGTCACAATGTGAGTTCCTTTCCTTTCCAAAATTCAGAGACCCTGAATATACATCATCCCTTTTGCACATCTATATAGAATGAAATGAACAGACTGCTCCTGCTATTTTCGTATGTCATACAAAGGCCTTTGACCAAATTTTTCACTCTTTTTCCCGTTCAGTTTCCGAATTCAGGTGTCTCAGTCATGTCGAAGGTGGCCATAGATACATTCACAAGATACCTTGCTCAAGGTAAGTATATATGAGAGTATCAGTAAACCGATTTACTCACTCAAAGCATATAAATCTAATGGAAGCAAAAGCATTTATCCTTCATGTCTTGAACACTTGAGGATGTAAGAATCTTAGATTTAAAAGCGATGCTCTACATGGTAATTTAATCCGTAAAGAATCCGTGTTAAATTGTGTCCTAAACCATGCTTACCTGTCACTGAAAGCAATCTTACTGTCCAAGCATCGGTAAGCAACATATAAACAACAAAATAATTTCTTTCCACAGAACTGTCATCACATGGTGTACGTGTCAATTCAATCAAGTAAGTACAACCAGAAAAAAACAATAATTGTTGTCGAGGAGATGCCTATGGGTATGAGGAGATGAGGAATGGTGTCACTTAGATTCATTTGAGATCAGTTTAAAATGAAATTCACTCACCTGAGCAATATATATCATATGTTTTCATTTGTCGTAATTCCTTCTGGATGGACAGTTAGTGGAGGCGTCTTACTCAACTCAGGTCAAAATGTCCAATATTCAAAAGATGTTCATCAATGTTTGAGAGACGTCAGAGGCACACTGGCCCTTTCGGGAGTCACTCACAGATCAATATTATGTACTGCATGGGCTGGTATTTCACAATTCGAACTACTGTACAATATCACCACAATCACTTCATAAATATACATGGTATACACCATGAAGTAGGAAGTTGAAACTGGCATAAACGAATTACTTTTATTACACATGAGAAAATCAGCTCAGCACGTGTCTTTTTGTAAGTCTCTTATACCAAGTTAATATTCATAATAAAACAAGGCACAGACAGATGTATCAGACAGATGTATCAGACATTGCGAAAAGAGTGGAACAAGATATTGCAAATGAATATCACATCCATAAAATTGGATTGAAAGTTGGGTTTTCATTGTGGTTGTTATAGATTATGTTATACTTGGTTTGGTGCTGTTATTCCATATACGGTCACATGTGCTATTGGATTATTGATATCGTGAGTGTTGTATACAGTTTAAGTGTTATATTCACTTTGTTCTTTATTAAACAAAACACTGACTGATGTTTTTGCCATTGTGAAAGGAAACGTAGAATATATTGCAAATGAATATCACATACATAATATTGCATGACATTGCCCCAAAACATGTTTTCAAAGCTGTCGACTTACTTTGCAGACTCAGTTGTCAAGGATGCACAACTGAATTGTGTGAATGTTTTATGTAAATTGTCTTTTACTTTTTTGATTGTTAGTGAGTTACACTTAGTTTCTTGCTATTATTCCATATACTTTCACCTAGTCTGTTGGATTATTCTGATACACCGTCATTGTATTGACTTAAAGTGTTACAGTCACTGCTAGTGATGCATTCGTGTTGATAGATGTGTTTACTGTGTTGTGTCCATTGTTACAGTCCCAGGCTATGTACCCAGCAACATAATGTCAACGACGTTGACTAAAGACGCATCCGACCAGGTAAATACGTTTAACCCACCACACCCTGTGTGGAAACCTGTGATTATAGCATGGGAACCTTTCACGTTGTTTTGATATCACAACACTCAGTGGTAACGAACATGATCATGCAACAAACAGACCCTACCGTATTGTAAATTGCAGACTTCCCATGTGGGGCGGGGAAGAGCTTATAAGCGTATAGAACTAGCGCGCACAGTACTCATGGATTACGATACATATACTACAATCCTTAAACTAATTCATTCACTCTCTTTCTTTCAGATGGATAAAGCTATAAAACAGGCGACACCAATTGGTCGAGCTGCTACCCCAGAAGAAATGGGTCACATTGTGGCCTTCCTCGCCTCGGATAAAGCAGCCTTTGTAACTGGAGAGAGTTTCAGGGCCGATGGTGGGCTCTCAATGACCACACCAGCCCTTGGATAGAAAATGTTGAGGGAAGCTTGAGGTATACTTGGATGCTCCATTAGCAGATTGTGGGAGGAATATTCGCATTTGTACCAAACACATTCGCCTAACAGACAAATACCAGTGAAATGTGACAGTTGACGTTTATTCATAGATGATATAATGCATGGGAAAAGAAATAGTTTTTGTATTTACTGGAAAATTCTGAAGTTGTTCTGAAACATTATAATTACTAATATAAATACAATGTCATTTATCAAATTCTGTAAGATATTGTCCCACTTGTGTTAAACAAATAAATATGTATTCTCAAAACTTTTTCACAAAGTTTGTTTTTCTGGTTAAGCAGTGGAGCAGATGTTGGTAATGGGGATCTTCAGTTGCCGTATCCCCCATCTGGCCATCCTTGTTGTTGTGAGCATCAGTATTTAAACGTTTTAAATATATTGTCAAATATTGATTAGTTACCAACTCCATGAAGGCAGTCTGCGTTAGGCGCAGTCGGTAAGGGATGTTTATGATTCAGAACTTCCATCGATAAATCACCGTTAGACAGGAATATGTTGATAACTATGTTGGCTTGCAACACAACTGCTTGCATGGAATAAATACACGGCTGGTTTGCACAGAGCACAAATACTGGAGCCAGTGTGTTGTCTCAGTTTAACAGTCAAGTGACAAAATTAATGTCGTTTTCAACTGATAGTGACCCCCCAATTTAGCATGGGCAAGAGGAACCTGGATGCAGATTTATCATGAATAGCATAAATTCGGGTGCAGACAATGTCCCTTCTAGGATTCCATACCTGTAGGATGTTCGAGCTATGGTTCAGATACTATTACCTAAAGGCCGTTTTGAAATAGCTCAAATATTGCCAAACAAAATTCAACCATTGGAGTTTTACATCGACAAGAACAGGACACTCCGAGGGAATACTGGTTTGTCCCATACTTTCCATGAAGATGACTTTATGAAGCATGTAGTCAGTCGAGGTGATTTGGTTCTGTGTGTGCAGTAATACCCTGACGGTGCTCATAATATCAGTCAGTAGTTTAACGGAATTACATGCGGTAATTTAACCTGAGTATTTCATTGGGGCGCTGAACAATGTGTGTGGAGTGGATAGTGAATGAGTGAGTGAGTTGAGTTTTACGCCGCACTCAGAAATATTCCAGCTGTATGGCGGCGGTCTGTAAATAATCGAGTCTGGACCAGACAATCCAGTGATCAACAACATGAGCATCGATCTGCGCAAATGGGAACCGATGACATGTGTCAACCAAGTCAGTGAGCGTGACTACCCGATCAAGTTAGTCGCCTCTTACGACAAGCATGGGTTACTGAAGGCCAATATTCTAACCCGGACCTTCACGGGTCCTGGAGTGGATATAGATCATATATGAGTGATCTCCAGCAACCCTTGCTTGTTGATTGTTAAAGAAATGACAAACCGGATCGGGTAGTCAGCCTCGCTAATTTAGTTGATGCATTTTATCATACATCGATGTCAATCGCTTCAATCACTAGATTGTCTTGTCCAGACTCCATTATTTACAGGCCGCCATCATATAGCTGGAATATTACTGAGTGATGCGTAAAACAAAAAACAAACAAAACAACAATCATGTCTCTAGAAGTAGATAAGGTGATCAGATTCAGTGACTTGGCTGATTACTCTAAAGGTGGAGACCAGTGAAGATCCACGTTAGAATTGGTCTTCAGCAAGCCATGTTTGTCGCAAGAGGTGACTTAGGGGATCGGGGGGTCAGGCTCGCTGACTTGGTTCAGGGTATGCAGTAGTACCCCGACGTTGCTCATGGTATCAATCACTAGGATGTGTCTTATCGACAGAACGCCGTCACTTATCCCGACGTTAAATGTGAAGAAACGGATGGTTGAGGACAGACGTCGAGCAACAGGGAAAACACGTCTGTAAATTACGTCTGTACAGAACCAGGAGAGATGGACTCCATCTCGTAACCCGGCTGTGATCATAACAGAACTATGTTACGGCGACTGACGGTATGTATGCGACGTAGGGCAGTTACAGGCAGTTATCCAAGCACGTGGAGTGTGCACTAAATATTGATCCTACAACGTTCCCAGGTTACAGCTCCGGTGTTTTTGTCTCAACACATACTTCTCTCTCTAGCTCAATACTTGTGACAGGTATATATTTGAGTCGTATCTAGTATCAAAACGTTGACGGAAACTGTCCTTTGCAATTTTCTTGTAGTAATGACATAATCTTACTGAAAAACAGGCAGCTTTACCAACGTGCTGTGCCTGCACACCACTGATCGATGATAGTCGAAAGATACAACTTTGTCAAAATTACCGAGGACAGGCCACATATTACCAATAGCACAGACTGCCTGTATTGACCTTTGCCGAAGTTTGCAACTCATTTAGCGGATATATCGAGTGTTGTGATTTTTCTCACGGGCCATCTTTCAGACTGCTCACATGTGGTGATTGTTTATTGCAAGCCAGACCACTGATATATTTGGTTGGTACATGTTCGCCGATAGGCTAGTTAGTTACGGCGTACATGCTTTCAATGAGTGATCAGTCCCATGATATCATGTCAGTTGCCCTTATACTGTCACAGCACTCGTTATACAGCTGTCCTACTTATCTGATAGAGAACAGCGCGCTCACATACTTGTGTTGTCATGCACTAACACGCAGGCAAAGTCCACGTTAAAGTAGAGATATCGTGGCAGCTTCGGTGAAAAAAATACTCGGTCGATTTTACCTCTATGGTGCAGTAAATGCTTATATTTTAAAGAGCATGATCAAACTGTATGTATCTAAATCTAAAATAATAAGTACATGTATGTTAAAATCGAGAAGTGTATTTATCGACTGTGTTTATCCCAAAGAAAAAAACAATGGTGTGATTTGTATCCCAAGTATAATACGGGTTACATTTGACCACTTTCTAATTGGCATTGTGTATTCAGAACCCCAGGTGTAGATATTCCCTGGATTCCATTATCCACATGCCGTCGTGATTAAGATGAAGTAATGCCAAGTGCGGAGTTCAACAACATTCAACCAATAAAGCTTTCCTTCAACAAAAGGGCACTCTGGAGGATACCAGGTATAAAAGAGGTCCATGCTTTACGTAGAGTCTGAGGATGACGACCCGATTCAGCTGGAATATTGCTGAGTGCGGCGTAAAATTCAAGTCACTCACTGAAACAAATACATGTTCATGATATAGTGTCACAATTATACAATCAAATCTGCGTTTAGCAGAGATTTCTTATGCATGTGGAAAGAGCTTTATCGCTTTTGTTCTGTTGATCTGATTTCAAGGATGCCAATGTGTCACCAGCGTAACGATTTTCTCAGTGCAAAAGGAAAATGGAACTATTTGAAAAATCGCAACGGTCTCTTTGTAAGGATGTACAGGAACATCAAATGAAAAGGATTTGTAAGGATAAAAGAGGTCCCATTAACATATGCGTGTTTTGGAGTACTCGAGTTTTATCGATCATCCCTATTGATTGAACTGTGTAGGAATATCGAGACGGGCTACACAAAACTGGGCTTCACAAAATGTACCGTGGGGAATCCAACCAGTCATGGATGTAACGAGCAAACCCTTTAAGCACTAGGTTAAATCATGAGATGGGTTTTAAGAGATTTGATAGTCAGTGGTTAATCGGTGGATAAAGAGTCATAATACCTTGGTGGCGTGGACCGTTGCTCATATTATCAATCACTGGGTTTTGCATACACTTTACATTACCCGACTATGTACGACACAGACGCTACAGATGGTGGCGTTAACCCGTAACACAAACAAGCTAGGTATATCATATGTCTGTGTTTAGGTGAACAACGCTGGGATCTCAGACCTGATTCCGCTGACATCAACGACCAAAGAGCAGTACGACAGAATGATGGCTGTCAACGTTGAGGCACCTTTGTTCTTGACACAGTTAGTTGCACCGCATTTGATTGAAACTAAAGGTACTTTCTAAATGGCTGTGATTTCATGTGTGGTTTTATGTCTGAATGTCATTGTTGAAAACAATTCATTCTGGAAAACAAGACACTAAAGACAGTACTCAACTCACCGTACAATTTGCTGTATGTCCTGGAGTGAGTGAGTGAGTGAGTTATTATTTAACGTCACATCGGCCATACATTAAAAACACAACAATAGTACGATGAACCTGGTACACTTAAATTGACTTCAAATGTTTTGGGACTTACATACCCTCGCAGGCGGACACTGTATGTCCTGGAAAAAGGTGTTGTCACCACAACTTGTTCAGCTTCACGTTTCAGAGAAACAACTGTACGTTGTGAGGCTGTGAATAAAATATATTCAGTCCTTTACAAACGGCATATAGAACTAATTATAATAACTGTATGTCTTTTCATTAGATAAGATGTTAACATGAACACACGATATTTCCAGCTTTCTACCTGAAGTCACTAGTCTTTTGCTGATCAAATAATTTTGTACCAGGAAACGTGGTCAATACGTCGTCTGCCGGAACGTCCATGATCGTGAGTGTGATGGTTATAAGAATAATTCACAACCTGTAAAACAGAGCAACTTTACACATCCCGTAGCCGTTTGAGTGTAGAATAGGCCACGCGCATAACACAGGAAGCCGAGTGGATGCTGTATTTTGGTGGTGGAATTGGGTTTAACGTCGTGCTTGAGAATATTTCGCTCATATGACGACGTGCATGCGTGTGTATGTGTATGTGCGGCTGCTTGTACTAGCCAAGACTGCAGCTGGTTTTATAGTGCTAGCCCACTGAGATACCATGTCGCAGTGAAGCATGAATACCCCACTCAGACACATAATACTGACTCCGAGCCGACCAGTCCTTGTTGTACCCATTAATGCCGAGCGCCAGGCAGGGACCAACTAGTAGCATATTTTAACGTCTTTTGGTATGACTCGGTCGGGGATCGAACCCGCGACCTTCCGCACTCCGGGCGGACGCTCTAACCACTACACCACGGAGGCGGTCGGATGCTGTATGACCAAAATGAGTGTTGTGTGAGTAAAGAAAGAGTTAATGGTCACAATGTGAGTTCCTTTCCTTTCCAAGTTCAAAGACCCTGAATATACATCATCCCTTTTGCACATCTATATAGAATGAAATGAACAGACTGCTCCTGCTATTTTCGTATGTCATATAAAGGCCTTTGACCAAATGTTTCACTCTTTTTCCGTTCAGACTCCGAATACAGGTGTCTATATCATGTCGAAGGCGGCCATAGATACATTCACAAGATACCTTGCTCAAGGTAAGTATATATGAGAGTATCAGTAAACCGATTTACTCACTTAAAACATATAAATCTAATGGAAGTCCTTCATGTCTTGAACACTTGAGGATGTAAGAATCTTAGATTTAAAAGCGATGCTCTACGTGGTAATTTAATCCGTAAAGAATCCGTGTTAGATTGTGTCCTAAACCATGCTTACCTGTCACTGAAAGCAATCTTACTGTCCAAGCATCGGTAAGGAACAAATAAACAACAAAATAATTTCTTTCCACAGAACTGTCATCACATGGTGTGCGTGTCAATTCAATCAAGTAAGTACAACCAGAAAAAAACAATATTTGCTGTCGAGGAGATGCCTATGGCTATGAGGAGATGAGGAATAGTGTCACTTAGATTCATTTGAGTTCAGTTTAAAATGAGATTCAATAAACTGAGCAATATACATCATATGTTTTCATTTGTCGTAATTCCTTCTGAAACGTTGTAGAAGATATTGCAAATGAATATCACATACATAATATTGCATGACATTGCTCCAAAACATGTTTTCAAAGCTGTCGACTTACTTTGCAGACTCAGTTGTCAAGGATGCACATGACGTCAACTGAATTGTGTGAATGTTTTATGTAATTGTCTTTTACGTTTTTGGTTGTTAGTGAGTTACACTTAGTTTCTTGCTATTATTCCATATACTTTCACCTAGTCTGTTGGATTATTCTGATACACCGTCATTGTATTGACTTAAAGTGTTACAGTCACTGCTAGTGATGCATTCGTGTTGATAGATGTTTTTACTGTGTTGTTTCCATTGTTACAGTCCAGGCTATGTACCCAGCAACATAATGTCAAAGGTGTTGACTAAAGAAGTATCCGACCAGGTACGTTTAACCCACCACACCCTGAGTGGAAACCTGTGATTATAGCATGGGAACCTTTCACGTTGTTTGATATCACAACACTCAGTGGTAACGAACATGATC